AAATACAGTAAAATCAGATTAGGAGACTCTCATTAATGCAACATATGTGACACAAGAATATTTAAAGATTAAAACCAAAGTGAAAGTCTGATCGGTGAAGCTGGATACAGACGTCGATGTGAGGTGACTCTTTAATCTGTGTTTGGTCTCCACCTCCTGACATCAGGCTCCTCAGTGCTCCACATGTTCTCCAGCTGTTCTGACTGAGCAGCTGTTCACGGACAGAGGCTGATTACAGATGTTCCAGTCATGTGATCTATTACGACAGAAAGCTGAGATTCAGATTTGCTCGTTGCAGCGCTGCAGTCCACCTGCTTCGCTCCGAGCAGACGCATCACTCGCTCTTCTACCTGGAATACGTGGGCGTGGCCGTCTACCAGTACGGCTGTGCTCTGGCCCTGTGTCTCTACAGCTCTGACACCGCCTGGACGCAAAGCATGCTGGGACAGGTCAGTTCACGTGTCTTGCATCCATCCTCATGATGCGTTCAGGTGTCCTCATGAGGCAGGTTTTTCTGCAGATCTTCCTCCCAGTCGCCGCTGTAGCCTCCTGGCTCTCCTGCGTCATCTGCTGCTACGCTGAACTTCATTTCCATCGACCGTACCCGCGGCTCAGGAGGATCTGCCAGGTGGTCCCGATGGGCGTGGCCTACCTTCTGGTCATCAACCCTGTCACCCACCATCTCGCCAGCCACAGCTGGATGAACACCTCCACACCTCATCTTCACTTCCTGCAGGTGAAGCTTCCTAGTCAACATATAAACACATCACTTCCTGTTTCCACTGAAGACAACTCCTCTAAAAGTCAGTGCATGTAAACGCACTTCTATCATTTCTCCACCAGGTGGCGCTACTTCTGCTCTCTGTCTTCTTTTTCTCCTGCCCTGTACCTGAGTGCTTCTCCCCCGGCCGCTACGACATCATCGGCCACAGCCACCAGCTCTTCCACGTCCTCTTGTCTTTCTGCACGCTTGTCCAGCAGGAGGCGCTGTTCGACGACTTCCTGTGGCGGCGGCAGGTGCTAATCAGAGAGTTCGGAGAAGAGCGCCTCCTGCTGGCCTGCGCCTCCTTCCTCGGCCTGACGCTCTGCTGTGTGATGACGGCGCTCGCCATGAAGAGAACTCATGTCCAGCTACTAAAAGAGGGACGATAGAAGAAGAAGAAGAACTTCAGACGGGATTAATTCATCTTGATCTAGAAGCCGGAAGGTTTGAGTTTGAGTTTGAGTTTGAGTTTGAGTTTGAATGTTCCCTGAGTTCGTGCTCCAGCTTCTTCTCACAGTCAACACATGCAGGTTGTTTGGTCGTTCGTCTCTGATCAGCCGGACAGAGACAAAGAAAAAGACAGAGAGTCAAGATCTGCTCCCTCGAGAACATTCTTCATTAGCTTTACTTCCTGTCAGTGTGTTTTCTGTAGTTCCGTGTACACCTCTGTGTATTTATACCTTTATGTTTCCACCCTTCAGTGCTTCCTGTGTTTTAACAGCTCACAGGTGATTGGTTCGCTCCTGACGAAGAACTCAGGTGACACCGATAGATGATTGTCCAGCTTGAAGTTTCACGGAGGCTGCTCATTGGCTCCAGACGTTCTGGGGTCCAAAGTTTTATTTTATATTTACGTGGATCTAAAAATAAGTCTAACAAACATCTGCACAGGAAACTGAGAAAAAAAAAAAAAGTTCCTCTTTGAGCTGAAGCGTAGACGCAGTTATCTCTCTCTCCCAGTTCTCTACCGGCCTCGCTCGGCCAGTCAAGCGGTAAGCGACAGTTGAAGTGTTCGGGCGGAGCCGCAGATAAAGTGTGAGTTTCAGTTTGAGGTGGACTTTAATAAGAACAGCATTGTGTACTATACTGTGTGTACTATACTGTGTGTACTATACTGTGTGTACTATACTGTGTACTGACAGAAAAAACTATCCGCACACACAGACTTCGACAAATAAATCTTCTTCCTTCATGTTCTGTAATCCAACATCATGTCACAGTTTTCATCACGCAGTCTGTTTGTCCAGTGGGTGGCGCTAAAGGAAAGATCACAGACTCAGAGCTGGAACGTGATCGGGTTCAGTTAGTCAGAATTTATTTATTACACCTTTCACAAAAGTTAGTGTCAAAGTCCTTCATGACTCACAGGCAGTTAAACAACTGCAGAAAATACTCAGTGTCCGAGATAAAATACTGAATATGATTTAAAAAACTACAGACATATATAAAAGTAGATAAAATATGTATATATGGATGAGGTTAGTCGACAGAAGCTAACAGGACACAGCTGACACAACCTATTCTGGTGTTGCTAGCTTGCTGAACTGTACGAACACGTTGTGTTATTTGGCGTCCGTGTTGCTGTTGCCTAGCAACGGCAAACACATATACATATATATATATATACGTATAATATTTGTGGGTGTGGTCAAATCTTTTGAATGCTTCATTTAATTCCAACCTAATTGCTAATGTTCAGACTCAGACCACGAATGTAACTGCTGAGTTTAATGTCATTTAATTAGAAAGAGCGAAGTTTTTAACTTTGAGCCTGACGAGGTCACGTTAGCTCGTAAACCACTCGTCTGTGTCTCTTGTTGGTGCAGAGAGCTTTTTGAAGAGAAGAGCATAAAAACCATCAACGCTTCAGAGCTGAAGCGGCCGGCCACTGTTACGTGATTAACTTCCCAATCGTCAAATGTGATCGGGATAGCGCCACCGTGTGGCCAGTTTCTAAACCAAGCTCAAAAGTGTTTGAGCCATTCAACAGTCTCCGACTCGGTGAGCTGCTTCAAGACCCGAGAACAAAAACACAAGAGAACAGCAGCGGAGAACGTGTGGAAATAAAACTCTGAATCATAAGATCCATCAGTGTTGACTTTATGGTTTACGAGACAAGAGGAGTGTCTCTGTGTGTGTGTGTGTGTGAGTGTGTGTGTGCATGTGTGTCTTTAAGCAGCTCAAACAGCTCAGTGTTTGTTCAGTCTGTCAATGAGTAAACCTGCTGCAGGAACACCTCCCCACACACACACACACACACACACACACACACACACACACGGTGTCGGAGCTGTCACAGGTACGTTCACACTTTATTTCTTTGTTCATGTGAAGTTAATCACTCGGTAATAAAATGTATTTTTGACGTTCACACTTCTGTCGGATGTTCTTCAGTCGCAGGTTGTGATGTCGTTAATGTTGTCGTTATTTACTTTTGAAGAACAAATGAACAGAAGCTACAAACACAACGCACCGTCAGTAGAATCACACGTATCTGAGAATCTCCACAGAAAACCTGACGGAGACATTCATGTGAACATGAAATTATAAATGACGCACAGTATTTATTTATGTACAACAATATTATTCTGTTCTTGTTAATACTGAAGTTTCATATCTCATGAGGTCGTACTGAATATTTTAACAACAGTGGTGAAACTGATCAACCTCTTGATGCTGTCGAACATCAGAGTTCTGTTCGTTTTACGATTCATTTGTAAACTTTTTTAGTTAGATTGTTTTTGCGAAACACAAAGAAGTAAATTGTGATGTGTTGTCACTAATATTTAGGTCCTCATTGTAAACGTGTGTGTTTGTAATGTTGTGTTCTCTTGTGTTGGTACTTCTGGTCATTAGTGAGTCGTCCTCAAACTCTAGTTTGTGTTTTTATAAACTGTCTGTGGTGCAGAGTGAAGTGAGAAAACTTTGTGTTCATCCTGCCTGGTTCATCTGCACTGAA